TGTTACCAGTGGGAGAAACCTTGTTTGACATTTTAAGCATTTGCCACTTGCATATCCTCGCTTGGAAGATATTCAAACTCAACCACAAATGCCTCAAAAACGCTTAAAACAAGATGTACAGACGCTCCTCTACTTACGAATGAGATACGTTCCGAAACGGCCGTTCGTAACTTGAAATGTTCGTAAGTCATTATTCAACATAATTTTAAGGGTATACGCCAGGGGTGGCCAATCTTATCTGCAAAGGGCCGGTGTGTATATGGGTTTTCACTGCAACTCCCTAATTAGATTACTAATTAGAGGACTGATTGGCTGAAGAGTCCTCACACCTGGGTTTGAACAGCTGACCTACAGGTTATCCCAAAAACCTGCATACACATCGGTCCTTTGCGGATAAGATTGGCCACCCCTGATATACGCAAATGCAAAGAAATAGGATGCTGGGAGTACGCAACGCACGCTACACTGCTGCGCGGCGGGAGTAGCGGCCAGAAGTCATACTAGGCGGAATTGGTGTGCAGAAAAAAAAAAATTATGTTGCGGACAGGAAACGGGAGCCCAATGAACACAATTTGGACTTGCAGTCCTCTTCATTCGTATGTCTGAAAGTTCGTAAGTTGAAAGTTCCGTAAGTAGAGGAGCGTCTGTACAAACGAGGTGGGCCAGTATGTTATATATGTCTCTAGTAGCCTAATTAAAGATTTTTTTAGTATATATTTTCATATATATTTACTAGCTAAAAAAATTATATATAAAGTGTGTGTGTGTGTGTGTGTGTGTGTGTGTGTGTGTGTGCAAAAGTAAAAAGAGCTCATATCGGAATCTGTATCGGAACTGAAAAAATGTGGATCGACCCATCCCTAAGTGTAATTATATTCCTTCAGTTTAGTTTTTTTAGTGCTATTTATTTGATTTTTTTTTGAGAGAGAGAGAGTATTTTCTGACAGTTTTTCATTCTCAGTATGGATGAACTTCTCTTCTCTGTGTCCCAGTGAACCTTCCTTACTTTGTTGCTGATCTGTCAGTCTTGCTTGAGGGCTTCTGATATCACCACCACCTTTCTCTCTGCTGTTGCCCCAGAATCACTGTCACTACCGGGGCTATGTGCAGGACGTGGAGGACTCCGCTGTGGCCCTCAGCATCTGCTCTGGTCTGAGGTAAGGGCTCCACTGGGGGGGGTGGGGTGTTCAGGCCTAAAAGGCACTCTTACAGTCATGAGCCTCCAGCTGCCCCCGCTCTGCTCTGCAGTGCTGGGAGGGGGGGCACTGGTCTGTATTTGCCATCCCTTTTTGC